TATCCTTCAAAAGAGAAAAGGAAATAAGGATTTTCCTAACAAAAAATACACAGAGGACCAGAGATGTAGTTCAGTGTTTATTGTTTTGCAGTGCTGGGAATGGAACCTAGAGTGTTGTACAACAAACAAACAAACAAACTGAGTGAACAAACAAACAAACAAACAACAACAACAAAAACACTGAGGAAAGGGGCTGGGGATATAGCTCAGTTGGTAGAGTGCTTGCCTCACATGCACAAGGCTCTGGGTTCAATCCCCAGCACCACAAAAAACAAACAAAAAACACTGAGGGAATTCATTGCCAGTAGATTTACTTTGCAAAAAATGTTAATATAAATTCCTTAAAGAGAAGGAAAATAATATAGGTCAGAAATTCAGATTAACATAAAAAAGGAAGAGTGTCAGACATGAAATAAATTTAGAGTAAAATCACTTAGTATTTCCTGCATTACTTATATCAGATTGATTTTATAACAGTTGTGTCACTCAGAGATGCCTGTAGAATTTTTTGGGGGGCAAATAAAATACTATTTTAGGAAAATGATTTTGGTGTATGTATTTTAATACTCTTTACATTATGTAGTGAAGATATAAGAAATAAAGTAGTTGTTCACTCCTTATATGTGAGAAGCAGAAATCACTGCAGTATCAGCTGGAACATGTCAATGAGTAAACAGTAAATGAATAAGATAACTTTTTTTTTTTTTTTGTACTAGGAATTGAACCCAGGGACGCTTAACCACTGGGCCACATCCCCAGCCCTTTTTTGAATTTAATCTAGAGAAAGGGTCTCACTGAGTTGCTTAGGGCTTCGCCAAGTTCCTGAGGCTGCTTTTGAACTTATTTTCCTCCTGCCTCAGTCTCCCAAATGACTAGGATTACAAATGTTCTCTACCATGCCTGGCTAAATAAGAAAATTTTTGATAAAAGGTAGGCTGTAAAGAAAATGGAACAAAGAATCTGAGAGTGGTAGGCTGGGCCAGGGGAAGAAATGCCACTGAAGAAAAGACATTTGAACAGATCAGAAGATAGGAAGGAGTGAGTCTTGGAGCCAGAGCATTTTTGGCAAGGGCAGCAATATTAAGGCTGTGGAACTCCTGTTTCCTGCTTATCCCACCACTAGGTGGCATCTCTGGACTAGGACCAAAGGTTTTCTTGACCTATTTAAGGAGTGCCATTTTTCTCCATACAGATTTTCTCTTTCTTTCATGAAGCTATTTGTATAACATTTCATCTTTCCCAATAAATTTAAATATTTAGTTAGTTTTAATAATATAATTATAACTTATGCCTCTACCATCTAAAGAAAAGGTATGGCTTTTACAATAATCTCCATTATGCATCTATCCAATAGTCTCCCCTCCCTACCTAAGGTAAACATCATCCTCAACTTTTAATTTCTTTTTTATATAATTTTATTGCAACTATACAAAATTCTAAGTAGTTTGTGTTCTTTATAGTAGTAGCTTTTAATTATATAAACATGTTTTATGCTTTACATTAGCATTTGGGCTTATAATTTTCCCCCTTAATATTCATCCATATTGTTGAGCATTGTTCTAGTTCACTCATTTGACTCCTGGTAATGAGTATCCATTTTCCCCCAGGTTTTGCTGTTTGAACAGGATGCCACACACATTCTAGGTTTCTTGTGCAAGTATTTTTCTTGGATAAGAGAACATTTGTTGGACTGCAAGTCATGTGAATATTCACTATAAGTGGGAATGCCAAACTATTTTCTAAACTGGCTGCACTGATTTATATTGCTTTGGTAGGGCAAAAAGATCCTGTGAATCTTCATAGTCTTTAACTCTTGGTCTTGTCAGAGCTTTACAATTCTGCAAATCAAATTGGTGTCAAATGTCTTCTTAGCATGTCTTGATTTGTAGTTCCTTGTTCACTAATGAGTTTGAACATCTCTTCATATTTATTAGCCCTCTCTCTCTCTCTTGTCTGACAGATAGACTTACTTTTTCTTACATAACCATAGCACTATTATGACACTCAACACTATTAATTCTTCGCACTCTGTTAGAAGTATATTCATGCCTAATGTGTTTACACTCATTCCGTTTCTTTTTTTATTTATTAATTCAACAAACACTTATCCAGACCAGGGATACAGGAGTGGAAAGAGATTCTATGATAATCAGAAAGCTCAACTCTGCTAAATAAAAATGAACTCAGACTATAAAAATCTGCCCTGCCACTCATCTGGATGTGAGAAAACAGCCATGGATAAAACCAGATGAAAAATTAACAGGAAACACTTCTCCCAAGGACATGCTGCAGCTGTAATACCATAAGGAAACCATATTTTGAGTTACTACTGCTCCAAGTAGGGCTTCTTTATGGTAGTACAAGAAACTTTGTTGTCTACAGTCATATACTATCTGAAACTTTGCTATTTGAAACAATATCAGAAAGAATAAAACACCTGCATCTTAATGGAGATTCTAATTTACTTAGACACAGAAAAACAACCCTCAATTTCCAACACAGGTGCATAGCTCCAGATATGGGTTATATGGACACAACACCTGACAGCTATCTGAATTGTTTCCAATTCAGGTCTCTGGGTTCACTTTGCAGTCCAGACCTGATGTTGACCCCCTTAACACACAGCCTTGCTTTACTTTGAGCTCCCCAACACACTGTTTTGTTTAAATTGCATCTAAACTCTACTCTTCTTTATAATCCTATAAGAACTCTATATTTTCCTATTTAGGGAGCTGACCCATGGTTCCTCTAGTATATGGTCTCCCTAATTGATTAAATAAGCTATCAGAGTATAAATTAGTCCCTGGTGGCTTTAGGCTGATTTGACTGTGACATGTCTTAAATTCCAGATTCCTAAACTGAGGCACAAAGGGGCTGAGTACATAGAAAGCCTCCATTAAATCCACATTTCAGCCTACCCTTGGTCCTCAAAATGCTTCTCACCTGAGGATTTAGAAAGGCCTTCAGTGGGGCACAGAGCCTTCTACTTCTATCAGGATTCTATGAAGATGGAGTGTTGAACTTGGTTTTGTAGGACAAATAGGCATTCTTAGCTCAAGGGCAGTATGACTTCTTCCCCTTCTGCCACGATAACATCTCCCACAATGTGGAATACTCCAGGATTCCACATTGGAGGTGATAAGGGGCAGCAAATTGGTTGAATGGAAGAATCAAGAATCTTGTATGAAAGCTATATTTGCAAAGTAAGGGCACCAACACTGTATAGATTTTACTTTATAAGGAAATGAAAATAAAAGTTTCCCTCTGCAGCTGCTAGTATATAGGCACAATATTCCAGTATGTCAGTACAGGAACCACCTTCCTTAACAAGACTCCTAAAGAGCAAGAAATAAAATAAAAAAATCAATAAGTGGGATGGCATCAAATTAAAAAGCATCTGCACAGCAAAGGAAACAAGAGTATGATGAGACAGTCATACTACTCAGAGGGCATTAATATCCAGAAAATACAAAGAACACAAAAAACTTAGCACCCAAAATATCAAATAACCCAATCAATAAATGGGCAAAAGACCTAAACAGAAACTTCTCAAAAGAAGAAATACAAATGATCAACAAATATATGAAAAAATGTTCAGCCTCTTAGGTAATTAAGGAAATGCAAATCAAAACAATGTTGAGATTTCATTTCACTCCAGTCAGAATGGCAATTATCAAGAATACAAATAATAATAAATGCTGACAAGGATGTGTAGAAAAAGATAAATCATATATTGTTGACGGGATTGCAAATTAGCTCAACAACCCTGGAAAGCAGTATGTAGATTCCTAAAAACAAAACAAAACAAACAAACAACAACAACAAAAAACTAGGAATGGAACTACCATATGACCCAGCTATCCTACTCTTTCGTATATATCAAAAAGATTTTAAATCAGCATACTACAGGGAAGCAGCCACATCAATGTTTATAGGAACTCAACTCACAATAGCCAAGCTGTGGAATCATCTTAGGTGCACTTCAACAGAGGTAAGACTAAAGAAAATATGATATATATATACACAACTGAGTATTACTTAGCCATAAAGAAGAATGACTTTATAACATTTGCTGGTAAAGCAAATGCTAAGTGAAATAAGCCAATCACCCAAAGTCAAAGGTTGAATGTTTTCTCTGATAGGCAGAAGCTAATCCAAAATGGGGGGTGGTCAGAGAAGGGAAAAAAAGGGAAAGGGAATTCCATCAATGTAGAGGAAAGATCACTAGACTAGAGGAAGGGAATTGAGCAGGAGGAAGAGGGGAATGGAATAAGGGAAGAACAGTGGAATGAATATGAGGGAACTTTCATACGTACATACATGCATATACCACAGTGAATTGCAACATCAAATATATCCACAAGACCCTAATCATAAAATCAATCTATAAATAAACTGCAGAAAGATCAGTAGAGTAGATGGAGGGGTAAGGAGGAAAGGGGAGGAGGAAGTGCTGGGGACTGAATTAGAGCAAATTATATTTCATGCTTTTGTGATTATGTCAAAATGTATCCTAATGTTATATATAACTAAAAAGAATCAATTAAAAAAACTTCATAGGTAGGGTAGGAGGATTCCATTTAATAATGCTTAATACATGTTTGTTGCAATGAAAGAAACTCAAAAAGAAAAAAAATAATAAAATTTCCTAAAGAGTTTTTATTGAAGTGCATTAGATTAAGGACACATCAAAAATTATTATTGGCATATTCATTTTAGTTCGGGTAGATGAAGTAAGAGATAAGGTAGATTATGGGAGCATTCAAACCCTACAGCCAAGCCCCATGGGCACAGCAAGGATTGGGAACCTAACACTTACTGGACCCCTTTTTCCATCCTGTGGTATATCCTAGGAGGGCTTGCACAACCCAGATTTCTCCCCCTTTTCCCGTCGTGGTATGTTCCAGCCTGATTTCTCCTCCCTTTTCACCCTATAGTATTGGCCAGCTTCTCAGAACGCTATTATACAAATGCACAGAGTACAGATTTAGAGAGCCTCCCCTCTGGCAGTAAACTCGTCCAGCAAAATGTCCCTACTCCTGCTTCCTGCCGCCAGGGGCACAACTCCATATCACTGCTCAAATGAGTTGAGCTAGAGGCGTCCACGTTCTCAGTATGGAATGGACACTCTTCTAACATGGCGTAGCCCATAGGGATGCGCCTCGGGAGCAGCCATGTTCCCTGCCTGACAACGCTGCATATTAGGTGCCCCTACCGAATGCCGCAGAGCACAAACTCCGCAACGACTCCATGTTGACTCTTGGCTGAGCCTTCCAAGGTGGTTTTGCGCATGCGCATATCCTCACTTCCGATGTCAAACTCCAAATCCCGAGAGGGGGAGGTGTTAGGGCCGGTGACCGGAAGCGGCTGCGGTTCTCAACCTCGGTTAGATAGTTGTCAAGCGGATTCAACTCAGTGCCGGAGGGATGTAGAGGTGATGGGCGGCCGGGGAGGGTGAGTACCGGGGGATTCTGTGATGGATTCATTGGTCTAACATGAGTTGAATGATTTGCCCATTATTTTGCAGGGTTTTCTCTTTTCAGATAGCAATATTAAGGTCTTAAAGTTCCCCTGTTTTGTGCATTGTTTTATGTGTTCTTAAATAATTAATAATTTGTGTTTTATTCAGGAATTATTTAGAAGTGCATTTTCAATTCCCCAAAGTTTATCTTTTTAATGGATTTCTAACCTTTCTTTTCTGTGTCTCAAATCTACATAAAACTCATTCTTGAAATATAAGGAGACTATGGCCTAGTCTGTGGTGAATTTTTAGCAATGTTTTGTGTTTAACTTGAAGATAATATTTAGATGTCAGTTGTGTCATGCAAAATATGTATGGGGGGTTCTGCTTCTTCCATTATGAGAGTGGAGAGAGAAATTCTCCACTTTGATGGTGATTTGTTCATTCTCCTTGCTTTTGTCAATGATTTATTGTGGGCTAATATTCCTATAAAGTCTGAGACTTAGGGCTGAGACTGTAGATCAGTAGTAGAGCACTTGCAAGGCCTGGGTTCCATCCCAAGCATGCAAACATTTTTTTTTTTAAAGATAAAGTGTGAGACTTAGGTCATAGTGCATTTGTCCACTAATTGATGTCCCATTACTCAAACACAATTTGATGAAAAAATTATTCTTCCAACTTTACCAAAAATAAATGGGCCATACTTCTGTGGGGGCACTTTTTGGGTTCTTTATTCTGTCTCATTGATCTGTGTCTATGCCCCTGCCAGTAGTTTCCACACTATCTTGATCACTGTAGCTGTGTCTTGCTATCAGGTAGAGCAATTCCTTCCACTTTATTTTTTAAATTATTTTAAGTCTTCTAGTTCCTCTGCTTTTTCATATGCATGTCCTAGTCTTGTCTCTACCTACAACACATCTTGCTGTGTCAACTTGGGAACAATGTACATCTTAACTATGTGAAGTCCTTCAGTCCATGCACATAGTATATCTATTTATCTTCTTTCATTCTTTCAACAGTGTATTGTAATTTTCAGCATACAAGTACTGTATATGTTTTAAGTTTATACCACTTAATTTTTTTTTGGAGGAGTTGTAAATGGCATTATCTTTTAAATGTTGGTTTCTACACATTTGCTGCATACATATATAAGTGTATATATACACACATACATATATACATGCATATATTCATAAATGCACACCCATATATAAGAGTACAGTTGAGTTTTATGTATTGATCTTGTGTCCTACAGTTTTTCTGAATTTTATTATTACTACTACTAATAATTATTTTTTATGGTGCTGAGTATTGAACTCAGGCCCTCATGCATACTAGGCAAGTACTCTACCACTGAACCAAATTCCCAGCCCTGAAGTTAATTATTTATTTACATCTTTTTGGTAATTTCCATGACTTTTCTGTACAGACAATCATGTCATATACAGAGACAGCTTTATTTCTTCCTCTCTAATCTCAACACTTTCCCTTTTCTTGGTTTATCATGCTGGTTAGAACTTCCAGTACAGGTTGAGTATCCATTTTTTGCAGTGGTTGGGATCATAAGTGTCTCAGATTTCATATTTTTTTGATTTTTGAATAATTGCATATATAGATATTGAGGTATATTCAGGATGGTACCCAAATCTAAACATAAAATCATTTGTGTTTCATATGTACCTTATACACATAGCCTGAAGGTAATTTCAAAGAATATTTTTAGTGTGCCTGTATTTTGGCTGTGATTCGTGAAGAAGTCAGGTATGGAATTTTTCACTTGTGGCATCATGTCATCAATGAAAAAGTTTGTGATTTTGGAGTATTTTGGAATTCAGGTTTTTGGATTAGTGAAGCTAAAACTGTACTACGTTGAATAAGAGTGATGAGCATGAATATCTGCATCATTCCAATCTTAGGGAGAAAACATTCAGACTTTCACCATCAAAGTATGAATTAACTGTTGGGCTTTACCTTTTTGTGTTTTTAAATGGATGCTCTTCATCAAGCTGAAGAAATTCTCTATATCTAATTTGCTGCGAGTCTTATCATGAATGGCTGTTGCATTTTGTCAATACTATGAATTAATATAATCTTGTGATTTTTCTTCTTTAGCCTGTTAATATGTGTGTGTGTGTGTGTGTGTGTGTGTGTTTGTGGGTTATGCTGATTGATTTTTGAATAGTGATGCAGACTATTCCTAGGATAAACCCCACTTGGTTGTGGCATATATATTTTTGGATATATGCAGGAATTGATTAATAATTTTTAAAAGGATTTTAAATTCATGAGCAATATTGGCCTATAGTTTTATTTTTTTTGGTACTTTTTTAGGTTTTATTATTTGGGTAATAGTGGTCTTAGAATAAGTTGATGACTATTTTCTTTTTTCTGTTTTTTAGAAGAGATTGTGTAGAATTTATGCTAATTTTTCTTTAAATGTTTAGTACAATTCTCCAG